AGCTACAGTGGGTTAGCTATTGAGCTTTAATGCCCACTGCCCTCGTTTCCGTTCTTAACTGAGAAAATGAAGAGGGACTAAATTCGACTGTTCTAAGCATTTATAGGGTTTGAAGTGGATATATATTTTGGAAGTGAGATAACCATAGTCTTAAATATTTTAAGAGAAATACAACTACATCTTGAACTGTTTATTTCATGTTGACAGAGTTTTTTACATTCATGACCTGAGTAGATGTAGTGAGCACTACGTCTACACAGGACGGATTTCCCCAGGCTCCTGCATCTTATATTAAGCAAATATTGGATGTGATGTCCTTGGGCAAATGATCAGAGTACAGATCTCTCTCTTTCTTTTTTTTTTTTTTTCCTTGAGTGAGAGCTTAATAGTAAACTTAAAAACTCAAGTTCCTTCCTTCTCTCCCTACTGCCACAAATGTTTTGCAAAGTGACATAGCTGTAACAGGAGGCATGGAGAGTGCTTCCTCTTCAGACCTGGCTAAAATAAGTCATTAGGGCACTGTCCTGGGAAGTAGGAGATCCAAGTTTAATTCTTTCAGTCTGACAGAGAGGAGGGTATACATGCATGCAACAGGGATAACAAGCTACCGTACATCAGTTTCTGCATCGTAAATCTGATCTGCACACTTTTACCATCCTGTAGGTATGAGAACAAACCACCTTGAAGTACCTCACACTCCCCACAGGTAACAGCATGTGTGAGGGCAGTTACTGCAGAACAGCTCACATCCAGTAGCTTATTACCTTGTCGCCACCATCTGTTCTCTTTCTCTTCAGTAAAGACTGCACAGTGAGCCAGCTCAGGGAGCTGATTCAGCTGAAAACATTTTTTTTTTTTTTTTGGCCAGGACAGCTTTCATCTTGATCACGGCTGTGAAACAATATAATTCACAGTTGCACAAGCACTGCTGTTGCACCAAGCGAAGGATGAGCTGCGTGTTCCAGGGATGGGGGTAAGAGCCGTAATACCACAGCTCAGATCAGGCTAAGCTGCCAGGAGACAATATTTTAAATCCTGACAAAATATCTCAAAGTATATAGTAAAAGAAAGCATTAGCATGTTACATTATGATAACTTTGTGTCTGTGTCTGACTTTTCTGGGTGATAAAAGGAACTCTTGACTCATCAGAATTGTTGTAATCGAAAGATACCACCTACTAAACGTATTGAAAAATTGATCTTGGCAAGGAGGTGATGTTTTGATATCTACTAAAGTTGGACCAAGAATTCACTAGCTGGTACTTAATTAGGTAAAGAGTTCACAGTGTTTTTCTTTCAGAAGATGCTTGGGATGTTAAAACAAGAGGCAGTAAATGCTGACGAATTGCAGGGAGGCTACTCCTGTTTGTGCTTTCCATGGGGCTGGAGCCTGTAGCTTTCTTAACTATGTGGATAATGACAAGACCAGATCCAGATGAGCTGAAAATTAAATACTGTTTCCTAGGTTGACAAAGGAAGTTCCACAAAACAGTTGACCTTTCACTGAGGAGATCAACTGTGGCAGAGCTAGTAATTAATCACTGATTAGAGCCTGTATTTTTTTTAATTCTAAGTACCACTGATGAAATCTACCAGTGCTGTAGGAGTGTGTAACTTAGGTTATTCTTTAATTGCAGTATTTTTAGCAGACATACATGGCTGTCAGCAGGCAGCCCATATATAACTACATAAGGTAAAACAGTACTTTCTACGAAAACAGAAAGCTGAGCTTCAAAATGTCTATCATTTCATGAACTAACTTTAATAATCTGTGCCATTTGCTGGAGATGCAGTTTGTTACAGTAATATGCATGCTTTGACATGATTTTATTTATATATGTGGAAAATATTTTTTCCAAACTAAGCTGGTATCTTATAGCGTGAGACAAATTACAGTACTGCTACTGAACCTTGCTAACAAGAACATTAATTCTTACACTTCTATGCATTAAAGCTGCTAATGTGCACATCTCATTCACAAAACAAATTATAAAAAAGGTACATCCTAAAAATAGTGTTTACTCACCCCGGAAGATTCCACAGTCTTCCTGGGTGAGTAAGTACTATTTTATAAATACATCTCCACAGAACAAGTTCTTTGATGGAGTCCTCCTTTTCATCTTTTGCACCTTTCTTCTACATTTCCTTTCAGGGTGGATATAAATAGTAAAACCCTAATTTATCTTGCCAATTCTTTTCTAAATCACACTCAGCATTTCTGTAAATAGATATTATTCCCATATGTTTTTATAGAATTATATTTGTGTTACCTAGGGCTGAAAGAGTTTTTTTTTCAGAACATTGAGAAAAGGTAGCAAAGGAAACAAACCTTTTCCCCTAAATCCAATTATGGTAATGTGGAGACATTATATGGATGGTTATATTCGGTGAATAGACGGAATGAATATCATCAGATTTTTTAGATAAAAATAAATATTGACCAATATGTCACTGTAATACAATGTCATGACGATTTGAAAAGACAGAATTATAAAAGCATAAAGTACATGGAATGTTTAAAACATGGCCTGAAATATTGCCAGTCTTAAACCAAAACATGTGCGGTGTATAGCAAAAACATGAACTTTGTAGTAGTACGTAATAGCAAAAAGGTAGACCATCCAGTTAGAAGAGTGAGTACCCAAGCAAAAAGTAGCTGCATGCAAAGCAAGGAAAATAGTGAATTTGGAAACTGTGATTTTTAAGGGCTACTGTGAGGTATAGCCATGCGTTTTGCAATAAGAAATCTGGCCTCTATCAGAGACAAATAGTGAAATTCAGAAACATGCAGATATGTTTTCCAAAGGCTTTAATAAACTCGAATATAAAGGATAAATGATGTAAGAAGCTGTAATTTTTGTTGATTTTTCTTCTGTTTGGAATTCCCTATAGTAAGATCCAGGAAGCTAAAAGTACACTCCTAGGTGTGCAGACTTATTTATTTAATCTCATCCCACAGCCCAACTAAGGAAAAAGATAAGGGACGCTGTTGGTGCAGTATGTTTGTTAAATTTGTATGGAGCTCAATACCAGTGAATGTGTTATGCTGAAGACAAAGAGAGTACAAGAAGATCTCTGGAGTTTGCTTTGCCATAAAATTGCATTTCTGTGCTGTTACATTTGCATTTATTTTAAGGGTCCTATGCTGGTGTATACCTGGTACAATAAAATGGAGAATCAGGACTCCACTGAAAATTAGTGCTTAGAATCTTGCAGCATATAAATGAAGAATGTGGTAAAATAAGGCCAGGCCTGATTTGACTGGTTTAAGACGGCTACAGAGGTTGTATTCCAGTGCCCTTGGGATTTATAGTTTGGTTTTATTGTTCTGATTAGGGCAGTGAACAGAGAGAGAGACTGCAAATACATTTGCTACATCTTATAATGATGGAGCGTCATGGTGCATGGATGGATGGATGGATTTCCATGCATGTATTGCTAGGGCTCTGTGCAGCCGGAGGAGGAGGCTATATCTTCAAGGGTTAATTTGCCTTTTAAATAGGAAATAAAATTCAGACCTCTGTTACTGACAACGCTGTTTTGTATAATTCCTATGTTGCAATCTCTCTTCTGTAATTTAACCCACAACTTCTTTTGTGAGACAGAAGTTCCATATTTTAAGCAATGCAAAATCTATTGCATTTTCTATCACCAGCTCCCACAAAACAAAATTTTGGTTCAAGGTACACAAGCTTCATAAAAATATTTGTTATTTGAGATTTTTGTGATATGGGCTAGCAATACTTGCTTCCTGCCTTTCCTGGTAGAAAAGCAGTCCCAGCCACCTGAGCTTTTTAGGGATATGTAGGCTGCCCATCATGGGCTAACACTGACTTGCAACTGCGTACTTCATCAAAGTCAGTGGATTTGAGATTAGAAGGCCCCCTTCAGAAAGATAGTCTAACATCCTATTAAAAAGGGATACTAGTTTAATAACTTGAAAAATAAAAGACTGGTACTATATAGAAATCAAACTTTCCCAGCATGCTTGAAATTTGCAGACCACTTAGGCATGACCACGTTATCAAGCAGTACACTATGCAAGAGCGGATCTGTAGAGTGAAATGCTTAGTCTGACATCTGCACTTCTGGGGGCCGTACTGCACACTTTTGGGGGCTTTACTTCAGACTAGCTCTAATCACGTTCCATGGACTGAATGCACCATTTCATCTGGAAGGAATCCAGGTTGTGTGCCAGAGACCCCCCTTGGAGCCAAACCAAAGTAAGGCAAGTGGGGATATTTGAACAGTTTACTGCAAAAGTGCACTGTTAATCCAAACTAAAACAATCACAATCCACTCGGATTTCTTGATGTTAAATCATACAACAATAAAGATTATTGCTCTGTTGAGATGTTTTATCCATAGATCTCGAAAGATTTTACAAATGTGGCTAAACATGCTTACCCTAGTTAAGAGGTGTGATCACCTGCTCGTTCCCTTGACTTCCTTAGGAACTGAGAAGGGCATCCCTTTTAACAGCAGTCAGTTGTTACCTAGAATTTCAAAGCAAGTCATTGGCAGAGCAAGGGGTAATGCAGATCTGGCCCATAATGCCTTTTCCTTTTTTCTGCACCAGACTACAGACTTTAGCTTTGTTTCATTTTAGCTTGCTTTCCAAGGTGTTTACCAGGTTTTGACATTTGAGACAAGAAAAGAAATGAAAAACCTGCCTCATTTACCTCTTCATGTCATGAAGATACATGTTTCTGCTTGCTTGCTTTAGATGCAGATACGTGACAAAAGAGAGCTCTCAGTCACAAGTCAAAGAACAAGTCACCAAGAACAACACAACAATTCTCGTAGCCGAAGCAGAAATTCTCTTGCAACTCTGCTGACTCCTGTCCTGCTCAGTACAGGAATTTCAGCTAAGGATGCATGTTCATGCTCTGGAACATGAATGTTTCCTTTGAGCTTACACTGAAATGTTCAGATGTTTTAGCTTCTCCCACATAGTTTGATTTTTTTTGTTGTTGTTGTATAATGTAAAAAAACCTGCTGAAAATTCTTTCACAGACAGCGCAAGGCATGGCAGCTCATTCCAGGATCCAGATAGTAGTGACTTGATTAGAAACGCTCAGTTTCTGTCCTTCTTCATCACAGATGGTCTAAACGCTTTCCTCTTCTTTTGTGATACTGTAATCTGTTAGCAGTGTAACACTGATTTCTGAGCCATGTGTGCTGCCTGTGACTGACAGGGCTCTGGTAGGAGTATTACTGTGGGGAGCACTGGGAGGTTTTGTACGAAGTTTTGCCTTGCAGCATGAGACTTGCTTTTTAAAGTGTTGCCGGAAGCTTTTACTCAGCCAATAAAGAGCAAAAGGATTGACGCAGGAATTGCTGAAGGCCAAGGCACGGGAAAAAATAGTAGCTATCAGATGAAAGGCAGAAGCATCTACAGAAGAATGGTATGTAAAAGAGCGATATAGGTAGAGGATGTGGTTAGGCAACCAGCAAAAGGCAAATAAAGCAACTAGCACCAGCACTGTTTTTGCAACTCTCTTGCGGGATTCAATCTAGGAGAAAAGGCATATCTGGTATTAATAGCAATAAGTAACACATGTTTATATAGTTGGTGCTGATTTCTGGAGGGCTCTGAGAGTGTTAACATTAATCAGTCTAAATGCGTTAGTGACCAAAAAAGCAAAATGGCTACAAACCAGAAAAACAAATCAGTTTCATAATTTTTCTTTTCTTTTCAATAAAGTATTTCCTGTG